GGGAGGGAAAAATGGCATTATACTACTACTTTGATAAAACAGATGTCAGCCAAACATCTTGTTTCAAACATGACCATATAATCAAACAACACTAAAGACCCTAAATTTTCAACTAAAACTCTAAACTCTCTGCATCAGATAAGAAAAGACAGACACTAAACCCTCACAAATCTGTTGAGAGTTACCCAATTCTACATATCCTCACAAATTTTGGTTATTTTTTTTCATAAACCAAACTCAATTGGTCGGCCAAAGTTACAAAGTTTTTACCCTCTATGCTCGGGATGACACGGCATGGATCATTCCGGTATCAAACTGGTCATCGCCTTTCCTTCTCATTTCAATGATCTTCCTGTGCGAGTTTGAATGCACGGTTGGGATGAAGGTCGGGCTCGAGGCTGGACGGTATTCTGGAAGAAGACGGCCTGATCTGAACCGGACACCACAAGCATTGCAGAGGGTTTTAGGACCACAGGGCCCTTCCCTCCACTGCGGGGTCTTGGTTGTCTCGCAATGAGTGCATTTACGGACCGTCCCATCCGAATTAAATGGTTCTGGACTGTACGAGACCGAATGGGCCTGACAATTCGTGTTCTTCTTGCGTTTCTTCTTGGAGGGATTCTCACAAGCGAGGTAAGTTTCACATTCTGATTCATCCAAAGAAAACTGCTGAGTCATTCCTGAACAAAATGACTGGAGGAATCTAAATCTCAGGGTTGTGGGGCGTTTGCGCTTGCTTCTGATGCCTTTCAGAGGAAAGGCCAGTCTCTGAGCTCTGTTTAGGTTTTGGGACAAGGCAGAACCGTTGGTGTTCTCGAGAACTGAGACTGGGGTTGAAGACTGAAATACCTTGGAGACTTTGACATCAGGAGGGGAGCTATCAACAGTAGAAGAGACTTCCGAAGAACTCGACTGCTTCTGCACACATGAAGTCAAAGTCAATGAATCTAAACTCAGAACATATTCAATCCACCCAAAAAGTGAGAAAAAAATGATCAGACAAAAGAAGATTATTCAAGGTAAAAAAGTAGACAGGATCTGATATCTCCTTCCAAACAGGATCTGATATGCTGCCAAATATGGTTGGTGTCCCTCAAGTTAAGCAAGAAACAAAGACGTCTTCAGAATGAAGATAGACAACTTTACTTTGACTAGTAGAGCCATAAGAAGGTATATAAACACAACAAGCACAAGCCTGATTCCACATAGACCAACAGATTTTCATATCAGAATACAATGATACTATGCCTAATCCTTCTTGTTATATATATACGGATAGATTCATAAATAATTTCTCCTTTTGTCCTCTCTATAACACATAGAGACACTAAACTAACCAGACTAACTTACGGTTTTGCTGAAGAGAACCCTAAAACATTCCCTGCCACAAAAACCCCAAACCGCCACACAAGCATTGCACGACCATACCTCTCTTAACACACCCTATATATACTGATACCAGCTGGTGGAGGCAACTATACCTATCCATGGGCATTTGACTCAAGACAAGAACAAGCTAAACTGAAAGACCAAAGACACTGCACAGTCCTTTTCTCATATACTTTCAGAGACTTAACATATACACTCTCGGCTGCACCAAAACAAGGATTCCTTTTCAGATGCTTGCCTAACAGAGAAACAATGGCGATTGTGTTTCAAATCCAACAGAAGCACATGTAATTATTTTCCTCTTGCAAATGTGCATTGTGTGGATAATCTACCAAAGCAATATGTATGTGTGTTGTGTATAAAAATGATAATTTTTCACGTGCACTGTTCTAACCTAAATCAGTCAAAAGTTGTTGGATATAAAAAAAATCTTTTGACATTACCGAATTATTTCCTCATACAAATGCTAGTTTTTTCGTGGGTACATGACACATAAAAGGTATAAAATATGCATAGATGATGCGTAAATAATGCATAAATGATGCATATAAAATATCCATAAAAAGTATGCATAAATGATATACTTTTTAAACACTTTTGTAACATAATGTAGTAAAAAGCTATGGAAGCTGGAAGCTGGAATCTGAAAGAAAAGTTATGTAAAATATACAAATTTATTTTCCTAATGCAAATGGATAATTCAATCATGTGAATGATCTATCAAGTAATGTAAATGACTGAAGTTCGAATCCAAATGATGCACTTTCCTAATGCATATAAAAGTGGTTCTTTTTATCGCAATTGAGGAACTAAATATAAAAACAACCTGAAGCTTGAATCCAAAAGAATTGGTGTGTAGTAGAGTGCCAACATTAGTTCTGTAATGAAAATGTATGATGTGATCGGGTGAACTATTAAGTTGCATATATGATGCAAAGTGTCTCTTTCTCGCACTTTATCAAACCATATGTGGCAAAAAGCTATTGTGGTTTGAACCTCAAAGAACCATTATGTAATACTATAGTTACTTATTTTCCTAAAGCAAACATGTGTTGTGATCGTGTAATAAATATTTCAAGTAATATGCATGAATGATGTATATAAACGACTAACCCTGATCAATTTATGCCTTCTTCTAACCTTATGTGGCAAAAAGCTATCAAACCTTGAATGCGAAAAAACCGGGTGATGTTACGTTATACCAACTTTCCTAAATCAAATGTCTGCTGTTAAACGTTATATCCATAAATTTCGAATAGGAACATGGTTTGATTGCACGCACTGTTCTAACCTACATGGAGGGAAAAAGCTGTCAAGGCTTTAATCCAAACAGAATCATTCTGTTACACTAAATGTATATACCGAATTAGTGCCAAAATATGCAAACTTATGCTGTGAATGAGTAAATAATCTATCAAGTAATATGCGTAAATGGTATATATAAGGGTAATTGTTTTTACGTGCTTTCTAACATGATATGGTCAGTAGGCTAAATCTGAACATAACGCAAACGGGTATAAAGATTACTATCAAATGACATACATAAATAAATGTATGCAAGCGTGGTTAGTCTGCGGTAAGAACTCACCAACATGGGTACAGGCTTCTGAATTCTCACACGTTGTCCCTTGCAAGTGTGAGCGCAAGTGAACATATTCGTGAGCACATCCAATGGCGGGGGTACAAGGTTTTGAAACCCGGCATCCCAATCTCCCTCATCATTGGCGGTTTCGATGTCCTCGAGGGGAAAATCGATATGATTGATGAGATCATCAAAGAAATTATCCGATAGACCCTTTAAGTCCTCTTCAGGTAACCAAGAAGCGTTTTTCATTTGTCACCCACTGTCGAAAAAACCATAGAGAAGATAGAAAAACAAACATAGAGATATCATTTTCAGAGACAACACAGAAAAGATTTCAATTGAATACAAATGGCGAAAATCGACATCAACCTGCTACAATTTCCTGAAAATATTTCATGAATGAGAATGCCTAGAATATGAAATATGACTAAACAACATAAATGCCATAACTTAACTATTTCCTCTTACAGAATATTTCCGAGAATTTTAGACAGAGATATTGAAAAAAACATAACTCCTTTTTGTATTCATTTCAGGACAAGAGAGCATCAGTTTCATTCAAGGGCACAATCAAACTGAAGACAAATCATTCTAACATTGTCTCAAAAGTCAAAAACCAAAAAACCCACGAGAAATGTCCACCTGAAGAAGAATGCAGGAGTGAAAGAAGCACGAACCTTCCGATACAGCTGGCTACACAGAAAGCATTCCCCAGCGC